GCCCTGAGTCCTGCGGGAGAAGGGCGGTATAGAAATTAAATTAATAATAATAATAATAATAATGAAGGGCAGTAATCTCCTACCTACAACTTTAGAGATTGGCCAACAAAGTATGAAAGTAATCCATCATAGTAGCATTTATTTATTTAAGAACATTTAGATGGCCATCCAACTCACTCCCCATGTTGACCACCATGCAACAGCTGCAGGTTTTCCATGCCTGCTTGAGGAACTATTCTCATTTGATCTTCCTACAATTCTTCCTCAGGAAAACTTCCTTTTCTCTAATATTTTCATGGCACAATCTGTTAATCAATTAGTGACCTTCTAAGTTTTTATTGTAATTTTCTTGAGCTGAAAGATACATACTAGTTTCTGTTACTGGAAAATAAACAAACTCAGCTATATAAAGCTCTGATGCCACAATCATTTCAATCCTATGCCCAATGTATTTCTACAGATTTTGCACTAGGAGCAGCACTTGTACTTGTACATGCTTACACGTGCATACATTTTTTCCTTCCCAAATGGCAACTTTGACTGGTCTTCTAAAGTTCTAAACCACACGCACAAACCAGGGAAACAGACACGTAATATACAATAGCACAAAACCGTGATTTCGCTGGTGTAAATCAACCTGAATGAGGCTAATGGATTACTAAAATGAAGTTATTCTGCAAAATATTAAGAGTGATTATTCCAACAAGGTTCTAGAACAGCGGTTCTCAACCTATGGGTCGTGACCACATTTGGGGTCGATCGACCATTTCACGGGGGTCGGCAAGCAAGGCTGTCTGCCATTTTTTCCCCCTTTTTCCGGCGGGTGCCTTACCTCCCTTGAGCTGGGCCAACTGGTGGTCGGCCTGCTCCATCTCTGCCGCTTGCCAGCTATGCCTCGGCCAGCGCAGGGGGCGGAACCACGCATGCATGGCGCTCCCAGGCAGGGAAAGCCCTCGACTTACGACCGGTTTAGTCCTCGACTTACGACCGGTTTAGTCCTCGACTTACAACCGGTTTAGTCCTCGACTTACGACCGGTTGGGGGTCGCGGCATTAAAAAGGTTGAGAACCACTGTTCTAGAAAGCTAGATGAAGAATAACCATAGAAGATTCCTTGTCACAACTACAAATGTGTCCTAGGATCATCACCTTCCAAATAAATGGAAACTAGTATTAACCATTTAGGGAGTGGGGAGGAAAGAACTGAAATAAAGTTCAGTTCTAACTGAAGTTAAAAAAAACCTGAGTGATTATCAATCTCTTTCCTGACTTACAATAAACATTATATGAGAACCTAGTTGCTGATTTGGATATCTAGTAATAACTAACACCTAGCTAATTCTTTTCATTCAAGTCTAATAACTTACCATATATATGAAAAGAGGCACAATGCTCTGTAATGCTCCCATATACTGCCCAAGTGCTATGTTAAATCTTTCAATGTAGAGATCTGGAGGGCTGGCCTGCAAAAGAAAAAAAAGGAAAATAGAAGGAAACCTTAATTCTGGCATAACCAGGTTAAGTTTGAAGATGTAAAGAAAAACCCTAATGTGAAAGATTAAAAATGATTTAAAACAAGCATTTTACCATTACAGATAGTCCTCTAGTTATAAGTACAATTGGACCAGAATAGCTGTTGCTAAGGAATGTGGTTGTAAAACATGATGTCATGTTTTACCACATTGCTTAGCAATGACAACCCAGGCAGTACTGGTTGTTGTCATAATAACAGATGCACAGGTTGTTAAGTGGGAAGCAGAGAGAGTCCTGGGTAAAGAGTGAGACGGGCATGCATAGGGTGGGGGAAGCCCTGGGAGACCCAGCACAAACCGCATACAATTTGGGGCAGTGGGGTGCTGCAGTGACGTGTGAGCTCAGAAAGTCCAGGGAAAGAGGGTGCAGGGTGTGTGCCAGTGCAGGGAGGCTGCAGAAAGGGGGTGCGGGGTGCATGCAGGTTTGCTGAACAAATGATAACTTAGGACTATCTGTAATGTTTCCTCTACCCACCAACCCTGCCGCCCCTCTGCAAATGTCAAGGACGAATCACTTTGACAGTCCATCATATAATAAGAATATGTATACTATTAATAAGTGTTTTCTTCTTGGGTATTCAAAAAGGCACCATTAGGAAAGAAAAAAAAAAGATATCAACAAGGGGGGGAAAAAAAGGGGGGGGAGGAAACAAAGTCCAGGATTGAAATATTCATCTTCAACCCAATGATGCCTAAGTGTGCTCATTGTCAACAAATTTATTTATTTATTTATTATTCATTTAGGAAATTTGTTTTGCCGTCTCCTCGCACATGGCGACTCAAGACGGCTTACATAAATAGAAAAACTCCCTATAAAAAATAAAATAACAAGAGGAAAAATAAAATAACATAATATAATAACGACCCACCCCTCCACTACAACATACATTAAACTAGCCATTTACTGGGCTCTATCCCGCTCTGGGTGTCCCAGGCCCGCTGGCAGAACCAGGTCTTCAGAACTTTCCGAAAGAGTGTTAAGAGTGGGGCCAGTCTAATCTCTGAGGGAATGATGTTCCAGAGAGAGGGAGCCACCACGGAGAAGGCCCTTCTTCTGGGTCCCGCCAGATGCATCTCCTTAGGGGACAGGACCTGCAACATTCCTTGCCTCCCCGCTCTAGTGGGTTGGGTAGATGTGACCGGCAAGAGACAATCCCTCAGATAACTGGTCCCAAACCATGAAGGGCTTTAAAGGTGACAACCAGCCCTTTGAATTGCACCCGGAAGCAAATTGGCAACCAATGCAGCTCCTGCAGGAGAGGTGTCACATGTGCACACCGAGGTCTGCACAAAACCACACAGGCTGCTGCATTTTGTACCAAATGGAGCTTCCGGAAGCTCTTCAGGGGCAGCCCCATGTCGAGTGTGTTGCAATAGTCAAGATGAGAGGTGACTAAGACATGAGCGACTGTGAGTAGGGATTGTTGGTCCAGAAAAGGGCATAACTGCCACACAATACGCAGTTGTGCAAAAGCCCTCCTGGCCACAGCTGCCACCTGCTCTTCGACCAGGAGCCGCGAGTCCAGGAGTACCCCCAGATTATGCACAGGGTCTGTTTGGGTCAGTGCCACGCCATCCAAGACCAAAGATGCCAATTCTCCATGGGTCAAAGAATCCCAAACTCAGAGCCCCTCGGTCTTGCCAGGGTTCAGTTTCCACCCGTTGCTCCCCATCCAGCCTCTAACAGCCTTCAGGCACTGCGAGAGGGAGGTCATGACATCACTTAACTCACCACGGGCTGGATGCCAAAGCTTGGGTGGGAAGTGGATAAAAATGGTGGAATGTAATATTTCTGACAAAGGTTGTTGCCCCCTCCATTTAAGTTTATGCTATATATACAGATCCTCTATAAGGAGCAATGTCAAATGCACCCTTTTAGGCAGAGCTTAACATTCCCAGGTTACTATGTCTAATATTATGCCCAGTGAAATTCCAGAGCTATATCAAGACTGAGAAGTAAAAAACATACTCAAGGAAACATTTTCAGTACTATTACAAAGAAAACAACATAGATATTAGGAATTTAGCTTGATATAAAGGGGACTTCATCGTTTTTAGACTTAACATTCTTTAAAAAAATATTAAATAAAGTTTAACACATATAACTATTGAACATCTTATTGCATACAGGTAATCTACTTTTCTGTTTTATAATTGATTATATTTTCTCTTAGCTCTGTTTTTCCCCTTGTTTGTCATGTCTTTATTATCCAGCAGCAGAATCTAATAAATACACATGGATTTGCTTTTATTTTCTCACAGCCATTTATGTGAGTTATTGCTTATAGCTGCAAACAACAGAACAGATAAGATTCTAGCAGCACAGTGATTCTTGTGCTTTAGTGATGAAACCAACTCTAGTCTTACCCTTTTGCACAAAAGCAAATATTAAACTACCACAGGACTGCCAACAGATACAGTACTTCTTTTCTGTAATGTCAAAGGAACAGCAATAATTCCATCATTGTGGCACATAAGTAGTTAGAATAATAGGTTTACATGTTCAAATCTCTCAGGCAATTTAATGGACAGCACAGTTCACAACTAACATGTCCATTTAGCTCTGGAAGTAAGACATCAAGTCTGAAAGCTTACATAGGGTCTATGGCACTGTTGCATTTCTACTCAGAAGTTATTATCTGAACATAGTTGGTAAATTCATATAGGAATGTGGCCTTAGAATTACAGACGGTGCTATATAATGCATTCAAGGGCTTTTATAATAGAACATGGAAAAGAGATTGCTAGGTTTGCTCTTAGAAAGAACAAAAAAGCTTTCAATGATCCATAGCAAAATGAAATCACAGTTACCCTCTCTAGATCCCAACTTTATGCACTTAATATAGTCAAATATAAGTATTTATTAAGCAAACTCACCTAACAGAGACATCTATTCCCATTTTGTAGCCTAATTTGCTTTGTTTAATTCACAGTAACAACACTGATTACAGTAACCTTAAAACATAAGACACAACAATGCTTGTAAGTATACTGCAGACTGTGATTTGGTTAATTATGACAGTGTTAATTTTATAATCAAAAAGGAACACAGGATTTTATAATCAAAAAGGAACACATAATGACAAACTCTCCTATTTATTTTGGAGAATCCTTAAATCACATTTCTGGGTTTGACCCTCCTGAGAAACTGGTTTCAAGGATTTTCTTATTCCCCTTGTAAGTTTGGTTTTGACAGAGGAAAGCAAAGCAGAGAAGGAAAATGGAGTGTATAAGCATTCACCTCATTACCCATCTAATAAAATTTAAATTTAAATCAGATCAGGATCATAACTGGGCTTTATTAATAATCAGGAACTTAACAAGACTTAACAAGTTAAAATATGTTCTTCTGATTAAAATAAGTTTGTCTTCATCTAAATCAAACTATCAATTCAATCTTGTGAATTATGGAAAATGGAACAAAACATGGGAAATTTTTTAATGTTATCTGAATAAACAACAGTATATCAAATTACTTCTTTAATAAAAAAAAATATTTGCAAGACTGAAAATAGAAGAGGAAGTGAAAACCGAAATAACCGTGCCTGCATTTTCCATGGACCAAAATACTCTAAGAGTTTGCATTCCACTACTGATAAATTATGGGTATGCAAAACTTTCAGATTTTAACACAAATCATAGGTAAAGAATTTGGCTTTAAGCTTTCAACAAATTTTGGCTTTTTAAAACAATTTTGTTTGAGTGGTCCAGGCTGTTCCGAGTATTCCAACTGAAGTTTTGCATGGCAGCTTTTAATTGGTTTGCTTTAATCTTTCAAGGTAGAGTCTAGACCAGTGGTGGCGAACCTATGGCACGCGTGCCAGAGGCGGCACTCAGAGCCCTCTCTGTGGGCACATGCGCCATGCCCCAGAGATGGAAACCGTCCTTCTCCAACCAGCCGCCTGCTAACTCGCTGAGGTCCCACATGGCCA